CTAAAGGAATGAGAACCTTCTTTGTAATAAAAGTATTGTTAGTCGATTTTTTATTATAGAAAATACGTATTTAATTAATATTGGAATAAAAGAAAAAAGCTAAGTCTTATCAAGGATATTAATATATATTTCAGGCCATTTAGGACCATCCTAAATATTTTTAGAAATTATTGTTTCAAGACCATGTTCACATTTATATTTACGTTAATAAGAGTATTAAAAACTTCGTTTTTATCAAATTAATGATTTCTTTTCACTTGTTGTATTACTTTTTGCACTAGAATTCATAAATATTCAAATGGCCGGCCGAGCCAGTTTGTTTGAAAACTTGTTTCGTACGAGTGTGGATTTGATTTGGTTTCACGCAGTAAAGGGTGAGTGAGAACCTACAGTATGTGCACTTGAAAGAAATGCCTTACACGAACCGGTTTACCTGCCTCATACACAAATCTATATATTAGCCGACTGGCTATGAATAATGACCACCCGACTGGCTGGCTGGCTGGATTGAGGCAGCTTGTTGGCGTTACAAGTGGCTCGATTCGGTCTCAGTTCAATCAGAGACGAACAGAACAAAGTGTTTTCTGTCAATTATAAATCATTAAACTCGCCCAGTTATACGGCAGATCATCGCTGATTGTATTTGTATGCAACTATGAATGATTCAAATCACGAAGGGAAAACGCTCGAGACCTGGGACCCAGAATCATCTCCATAGCACTTTATAGATTCTCTCAGGTTTATATCCATTATTAGAAACCCATAATTGCTGAAACAGACTGGTCCGATCTGACCCTACAAGGTCATCATTAGGCATGTACTGAAGACAGGCATTAAAGGCCCATCGAAAATTGCCAGCTATTTCTGTTAATCTCGTTCTATGGAATCACAGCCGCAAACTAATGACTTCCAAAGAGGAAACAACAAGGTTGGCTTGTGGCTAGCTAATTTATTTAATTAGCAAATGTTTTACTTTGTTCTTTTATTTGCTTTGATTTGTATTCACTGCGGTTGGATTTATTAGATTTACACGGCTGTTCAGGAATAATTAAATATGATTATTTATTTTATGGCCCATAAGAATATAATTTTACTTTACATTGAAAACGTAATTAAAATGTCAGATTTTACAAACTATTTCTAAAGTGGAAAATCCCTTAAGTAAACTTTAATTAAAAATATTACTAATCACCATATCAAAGCTCAAAACGATAACCAGCTCGAACGATAAAAAACTCAGCCAGAGATGAAAACAAAACTTTGTCTAAATAAAAGTAGGATCATTCAAACAAAAGTTATCCATAGTTCGGTTTAAATCCCTAAATTGCATAAGGGGGATAGATTCCAATGCCCAGCCCCCCTTTTCACAATCCAAAATACCCTTTCCACAGCCGCAAGAAACTTTCAATTGCCAACTCTGGGAAAAGTTAAAAAGCGGCACGCGGAAATTTTCTATTTTCTTTTTGTTTTCAGTTTTTTTTTTTTTTTTGTATGTATAGCCAGCCATCAACAACAACAACTAACTGCTAAACTGTAAAGTACCGGCTGCCACCCTCTGACCTCGGGACCTCTCCATCGGGCGACTCCCAATGGCAGCCATTAAATGAAACTTAATTAGCCCTAAAAAAGCAACAGAGCCAATGAGTAAAATGTGGCTGAAATGGGTTGGGTTCCTACTGGGTGGCTTTGGGGTTTCAGGGCTTTGCATTTTAATGCACAAACTGAAAAATCATTGATTACTTTGGTGCGGGGGTTTTCTTTTTTTTTTTTGGTGGGAGTTGGGCGCTGCACTTGGCGAACTAAAAGAAAAACGTTTTGTGCATTTTACGCGATAAGTTGATTAAATTGCATAAAAGTGGGCCAAATGGATCGAAGCCTGGGTGGGATATGGAGAAGCTACACTGTTGAAAAAACCAATTCAACGGATTTGGAATCCTACCTGTAAATTTAAGGAACACTTAAAAAATTTCGATTACTTGTTGGAATAATTTAATGATGTAATAATTGAAAACATATTATATTATAAAATCAATTCACAGATAATTTCATTACTGAAAAAATTTCAGCACTTGTAAAATGATTTTCTTAAGTGCCGGCACTGGTTGAGCTGGCTCTATAAAGTGGGGATCATAAAACGCATTAGCTGGCGGTTGAGTGGGCGGGCTGAACTCTCCCCAGATTGAGATTGAGTGCCGCTAATTTGAATCCGTAATTTCCTTGGGAGGCGTGCACCAACCCCCAGAACCTCCGGAACCCCTGAACCCTCATGCCGCGAAACCCTCTCCCCTTTTCACAATATTTACCCAGTGGGTGCGACCGTAAACCGGCTTAGAACATGGCTGCAATTTTGTTGCAACTTGCAACGGACGTAGCATTTCCCAGTTTACGGCCATATTATGTGCTCCTTGCTGCATGGCCTCAGCCTTTTTGCATCTACTTGTAGTTCATCGAGTGTTTGGATGGGGATAAAAAATAGTGGGGTTGGGGATCTTTGCTGGAGAAAAAGTTGCAACTTTTACGAGCCGTAACGGTCGAACGGGCCGGCAAGTACAGTTACACCCGGTGGAACAACACACCCGACTGGTTAGCTGTTAACAAACTAGCCGGATAGATGGAAAGATAGTTTTATTCAGCACCCGTCCTGGATGAACCCACCACGCAACCCACTCCTCCCCACCAAACAAACTTAAGCAGTCCGCGGGGATTTGGTGGCGATGCAGCCCCAGGCCCCCACAAATGTAGTTCAAAGTCGTCCAACATCGTAAATCCATCGTTGAACTATAAAAAACCGTCTTACTGCAATTTGTATCTCTTTTGCCGGTTGGGTGGCAAAAACGGTTTTGGTGGGGGTTTATAATACCCGCTACTAGTAGATTAAACGGGCATATTGCAGATGCAGAAATTTATGTTCGAGAGATTGAAGGCTTTTTTAAGGACGATTTGATCTCAGTGTGCTTAAAAGTTTCACCCGCAAGACCTACAGAAATATAATAATATTTAGACGAATTCTTAGGATCTCCCAATTAAAATAAACTTTGTATAACATTTTTAACAAGCTTATTGGTTAGCATTCAAAACATATTCAACCACAATTTTGTTCCATCTTATGTACCGCAGTTTTAAAAAGTTGTTGGTCCTTACAGAAATTTGAAAATTAAAATAATTATTTTTTTAATACACAACAGGACTTTAATAACCAAGTATCTCCTAGTTGTAAGACTTGACTTTATTGCTGTTTCTTGTAGTTTTTGTTTTTACTTCTGTTTCTGGGGCTCTGGCAGCCGCTTTTGGCTTTGGCTTTGGTCTTTTGCTCGGCTGCTCAACCCGTGAGCACTTTTTAATCCGATTTTGTTGCATTTTTTACCATGTTGAGTGTGTATGTGTGTTGCTGGCGATTACGCTTGCCGCTTCTCCTTATTCTGTGCTACTGGTACCGCTTCTTCTGCTTCTTCTTCTGGCTTTTCCACCTACTTTTCCCCTTTTTCGTCTGCTTTTTTTTTTGGATTTTTTGATTATTTCAGTTGCACACACTTTGGCCGAGAGTCACCCTCATCACCCAGAGACGGCCCTAACGATTTTGCATTTTTTATTTAATATATGCGGTGTGTTGCCCTTTTCCCCTCCGGACTCACCTCCCCGTTGTTGTTGATGTTGCGGCCCCTGCTTAGCCTTGGTTGACTATTTAAAGCCGTAAAACCCTTAACCGTGGCTTAGCTACACGGGCCATAAGTTCACCCGGAATGAGAGTGCACAGAGAGAAACGGTTCATCGAACTTGACATTGTTTTCGGTAGGGGGTGAATAGGTAAGTAGAGGTGCAGAGCAAAGAGCTTCAGATAACAAAGGGTGGGTTCAGAGGGAAGTGCCTTTAAGCCTGAATCAAGCTTTCTAAAATTTAAAATATAACCAGTAATTTTAATTAGTTCAATTAATTACAGAATTTCTTAAAATTTTGAAAGTTTAAAAAATATTTTGAGATATAGAAAATATTTTTTAAATTTATTTTACTTTTAACTGTGATTTCAATACAATTCCGGAACATAAGCCAATTAATTTAGAAATAAAATATGTTTTAAAACAAATTTGCTTAAACTCTTTCTTTAAAATGATCACGTTGTTAACAAAAGGATGACTAATAGCTCCTCAAAATGTACTGCAGTGCCCAGTGACCCAACAACAATTGACATTTTTCGGTGATTGTTTCACTGTTTTATGTGCCCGGCAGATCCCTCATTTGGGCAATGCCAACAATGGCCAGAATACCTGATTCGTTTGATAATCCTTTCGCCCAAAAAGTGCTTATGTACACAGGCCAGATTGCCTGAGAGTCGTCCAAGGATCGGAGATGAGAGGCCCAAAGTGGAGGAGTCCTAGTCGGAGTCAGGATCTGAGTCCTGGCCGGGCTGCAATTCTGCCTCGGGCTCTTATTTTCCCGTTGCCTTGGCATTCGGCTTGTCTCTGTGTGTTTTGGCCTATTTGCATTATGAATTATTTATTTTGTTTATTTCTTCTTTGCCACGAAAACACAGATACAGAGAGTTAGGCAAAGGGGGGGTGTGGTGCAAAAGCAAACCGAACCCGGAAAATGTTGCAAAAGTGGAATACTTGACGTCGTCTCAGTGATAAACGTGGGCGGCCAAATAAAAAACAAAAACGGGCCCAAAGAGAAAAACCAAAAATAAAGCGCACGAAATACGCGAAAAGTGTTTGCTCGGATTAAATTTATGAATATTATATTCAAGCAAAAGTTCTGCCATCCAAAAACCCGACCCACTGCAATAGCACAAGTTTGTCTATAAATTTTTTGCGCTTCCACCCAGTCTGTCCGGAATTTACGGTCCTCGCCCCCCAAAAAAAGGAGGTAAATTGCCAGCTATTGCAGCCCGCTTAAGGGTATAATTTTGGTCAAGTTGTTTATTTTGATGGCGGCCCCGTAAAATGATATATCGACTGTTCTATATCTCGATGGGGATTCGATGTTAATGAGTTTGCAGCACTTACTGGGCTCGTAAAGTATGCGACTGCTTAATCCTTTCAGCTCCAAGGTTGCCTTCAAATTCATACAAATCATTCGTTACAATCGTGGGAAATCTGCAAAATATAATAGATTCGAAATAATTATTAGCTTTTAATTGAAACATCAGTAATATATATCATATATTTAAAAACTTTTAAAATTCCCTGATAGAATATTTAAATACTGATAAATTTATAATTTATTATTATCATAGGTATTGCTTATTAGGCTACAAATTGAAAATGCAAAGAAAATTATTTAATAGGCCAATTCCCATTACCTACTAAATGCTATTAAATTCGACTAAAGAAAGCCAAGGATATACCTATCCACCATGGCTGAAGAGTCCTCCAGCTCGAAATGTTGACTGCCTTTGTTCATAAAGGAAATTAACTCTTTTCATGTCCCAATTTGCATTAAAAATGGTATAAATTCGCTGGTAAACGTTCCAAAGGCAACTAAGCACATATAAATCTACCCTTAGACCCCATCGAAACGGCTTCAACTCGTCCTGTTCCTTCGGGCCAGGTAAAGTAGTAAGTGATTGTAGCTCCTTTTCGAGCAAAATGGAGGTGGCGAAGCGAAAGGTGTGTCGGCTGGGCGGCGAAAAGTGGGTGGGAAGGTGGATGGATGGGTTTAAGAGCGATGAATTTGGAATGAATGCAATCTTGCTAAAATATGCAAGGAACGCTCACACACAGACACACCCACTCACACACACTCAGACATTAAACATTGAAGCGACAAACGAAATGAAAAACGGCTGTGCAAATTAATTTTACGTTGTACGAACAACAACAACTATGGCAACAGTAACAGGAACAACGAAAGTAACTGCGTTTGTGACAACACTGAGAGAAAAAAATTACCAACTTAATAAGTAAGTGTTTAAGATACTCGAATATTTTAAAAAAATTTGTCTAAAATATTTTTTAATATTTGGTTTTAATGGAAGAAAATAAATTAATTCAAATGTTTTCATATGCACCATTATTTATATGATATTAATAATTATATAATAAAATTTTTGAGAAATCTCCCATTAATTTAAATACAATTTTCTCAGTGCACAGCAGAACCTCCCAGCGAGGACGATGAATAGCAAACAACAACAAGAACTATGCAGGGCACGCCCATAACTCCAACATCTACATGAGAATGGGCCTCAGCCGAGGGGGCGGGGTTTTTCGGGAAAGTGGGGGCAAAGCGGGATACCAAGGATAAGGATGACTTCCAAACAGCTAGACAAACATTTAAAGGATTGCCAGCAGAATGCCGCCACCCATCCACACTTTATTTCGCTTTAATTACCAAGCTCTCAGTCTGTTGCTGGTGGGAGCGACAAAAAATACCCACAATATAGGACGGCGGAAAAATAGACAGAGGTTGCTACCTTTGTGGTTCCAGAATTTCCCGGAAAACCGTCTGTGCGTAGGCTTTAATACTTTAATAATATAATGTGCAATTATGATCAATATTCTGGTCAATAGCTAATGTTGTTTAATTTAAATTATGCTTAAATTTAGTTATGAGACACTAGCATTTTTATTTTGAAACTCGTTTTCTTAGCAGAAATAATAATTAAAAACTCAATAAAAAATATAAATTTTTATAAACTTAATTGGAAAATGCTCCAAAATAACTCATTATTACAGTCAAGGTGCATAAAATATTTAAAAATAAATAAATAAATCCAAACTGATGCTAATTTGTTCTTAGAAATCCGTGCCTGCACATTAATTTATGTGAACAAAGAGATCGCGCAGGAATCGAAGAGTGAATCGATAAAAAGCAATATCCCTGAGTCATCGTTCGTCCTGCAAAGTCCACAAATTACATTAAAACCCTATTAGCCCGGCTATAGAAAAGCGACCCAGGGACCGAAATAAACAACCGAGGGCTAGTCGTGGGGCCCAGACTTCTCGCTCGGCGGCCAAACTATTTTACAATTAAGCATTTAAGGCCAGGGCTAAAAACAATGTCTCGGTGAGTGTCTCGTGCCACCTGCACAGCAGTTAGCAGGTAGCAGTTAGCTTTTTATTTAACCCATTACTCCGGCTGCTTGCAGGTAAATAAAGCCGGCACTAAAATGTTGCCCAATGGCTGCAGCCAAAGCCAACCGAAGCTCTCGGCAGGAAGGTAAAAGGTAAAAACGACGCCAGTCTGCGCCAATAAATAAATTCGCAAACACCCCAAAACAAACAGTGGCAAAACCGGTGGCAGCAACAGTGGAAACTGGATACCAACTTTGACTTTAACCACACTGCACCAAGTTATCCCATCTATTTTTTTCCCGGCTCCTTTGGGTTGACATTTTTTTCCGCCCTTTTTCGCCCATCCACAATGTGGCGTGTTAGCAATATGCATATGGTAAGTCCCTAAGACGAAGTTTTTCCGGGGGAAGCTTTTATTTGATTAAATGTTCTTTACCTTAAAACCGGGCAAAATAGTTTTTCGGCGTTTATCTTGGTGAGATACAAGGTTTCAATTACCAATGTGGGGTAATGGAATTGAACAGGTGATGAAGGGATATCAATAAACCATGTGTCTTTTTTATGGAAATGGAGTTTTCTATTCGGCAAATTGAACCCGAAAAATGGAAAAAAATTCAATGCGATATAAGCTCATCCAGTAATATTTAAAAATATAAAATAAATTCAGTTTTTAATAGATGAATTCGTAATTTAATATACTGCCGTCGCCAGCAATAGATACTGACGATAAAGGTTATGAAAAATGGATTTAATTAAAATATGTACTTTAAAATAAACCATTTCAATTTATAGTAATTATTTATAAAACAAGAGGCAAACCATCTTTATTAAGAAATTGTGCATGCGTCTTAATTCGAATTTATGGTTTAAAAACATTTTCCAATAAAAAACAATTTTTGAAGAGATGATAAGACCAGTTAAAACGCAGAGAACTAAAGTTTCGTGAGCTTCTTAAGTACTCCGAATTTCAATTAAAGTATGTAAGCACTGGCGAAGCAACCAAGTTTCAATTAACCCTTCGAACTCTTGGCTGATTGAATTCCGAACCCATACTTTTTTGGCTCTTCCGTTAGTTGCGCAACTTGAACTTGGCAAAAAGTCGTCTTGGCCTCCCGTTTCGTATTCTTAAACTTCACTTTTATGCAGACATACGGGTAGTTAAGTCGCCCTCAGATACTCGCACTCTGGAGGGGAGAGATTATTTCCGTACTTTTTATCTTCATGCGTTCAGGGTGCGCACTTGGCGCTTAAAAAGTCAACGGAGCAAACTACCAAGGCAGCCTGCCAATTTGTGACTGTCTTTTGCTAACCTAACCCTCGGCTCCCAGCCGCAGCATCCATATATATGTCCATATATATCCTCCGATTCCTCATTTTGGTCCTGCCAAAGCGCGACGGTGCAAAGCTGACAGCTGCTTAAATAATTTCCAGTCATGTGCGCCGCCCACAAAACACAACTAAACCGAACGTACAGCATGAAAAAAGCGGAAATAAAGGAAGACCAACCACTACAAGAACTGGGGAAAAGTTGCCATCTTATGCCTTTTTCTTCCTCCGCTTCCTGTAACTTCCGCACGGGGCGGAGTTCTTGTCCTTTAAGTCGACTTTACGTCGTCGTCGTCTGTGTATCAATATGCGGGGTCAGTATTTTGGTATACCCTCACTGGGGGTAGCTGCAATACCGGAAATGGTTTCAGTCCGAAGGAAGTCCTGCTGATGACGAACTCCTTTTGAAAGGAGATCAAGCCGGGTCCTTTTTGGAAAAATAGTCCATTTATCATAATAACCACGAAACCTGAAAAATAAAATATAGCTAACATCTACATTTTCTTAAAGGTCAACAATAAATGTTGGAAAAAATCAAACAATAAAATGGGCTAAATAAAAAAAGTTTGGTTCAGAATATTTGTTTAATAACCATTTTATTCTAAAAATTTAAAAGCAAGTGTAACATTTGTTCGGCTTGGCCCGCTTTGAAGGAAATTTTTTAGCCGAGTGGAACTGAGCATTTGTGCTGAGGAAAATCTATGTGTCTGCTACATGTTTAATTGCCGCTGCGTGAAGATGTTAATCTATTTCGAGCGGCTGCTAACAAAAACTGCTGCCTGTCGTTGGGTCTGCTATATGGTAGTAGCGTCACTACTACGAGTTCTGCTGACAGGGAACATTGTTTAGCTGGCTCAAAGGGACCAAATGACAGAGATAGATCGGGGAAGGGAGAGGGACTAAAAGCTGAAAGCAATCAGTAGAGACTAATTCAAGTTACTTCTCTAAAAGCCCGCTTTGGCCCAGGCTCTCTGAGCCGGCATCGCGGAAATGACGAGGAAATTGTGTAAATTGATTATAGATAGCCGGGTTTCTATGCCCGGCAACCAGATTTTCACCACCGCCTCCTGCTAAGTGGAAAAGTCAATCATAGCTGCGTGTGTATGCAGTCATATCGAAGTAGTCTCTGCTCTATATATATACATTTAAATTTAACAGTCTTCTTTGTCGACGTCTTTGCCACTGGTTTTTTTTCTGAAAGAATGCCCGCCACAGCAGAAAAACAAAATTTATTACGAATGAAAATTAATTAAATTAAATGGACTGTGAAAAATTCTTGCTCAATATTATCCGGTCTCTCCCTTATTTTCTGCCAGCTCCTTTTCAACAAAGTATTAATATTAAAGTTTCCCGATGAGCGCTAGTAATAAAGGCTGCCAAAGGAAGCGGGAAAAGTCGATTGGGGATGTAATTAAAAATGTTTTTTATGATGTGGCTTGCTGTAATGCGCATCAAAATCTTCTTTAAGGCTTACTATGTAAAACACTGTAATCCAGTCGACAACTTTAAATGGTTGATTTTATTTTTGTTGAATGATATAAACATGATTAAATCATGCATTTGTTGAGTGCATTTAAAAGAGGGGATTATTGTAAATTCAGGCAGAAATGCTGTCTGAAATCATATTCTGGTAAAATGCAAAATGATACGAATACGCAGTGTGCGGAAAATCAAATTATTTTTAATTGAGCTTTTCACTTTTGTAGCCTTTATCACAAAGTATTTGAACGATTAACGATTTTTCTATTTATTTA